AGACAAAAAAAAAGAGTTATATGAGCATTCAGAGTGACAAAAAGGCAAACATTTATGACTGAAGACACGATACCAGAGCTTCTCCTTTGGACTTTTCTTCACACTAACAACCATTCAGGGTTCAAAGCAGCAAGCACATCATAAACTTAATGCTAAAGAGTGAACATGCAGGAATAGCTCGCTAAGGCAAGACACTTGATAACACGTTAACCTTCCCAGCCCTTTTCCCAGATAACCACTTATCTTTTCTCCTATACCCAACACTTACTGAAGATTGATGTCTCTAACAAGAGGCTCAAACTTGGGACCTCCAGGAATAGCCATGTTCAACGCCTTGGAGGTAAAGAATGCTTTCAGGTCAAACAAGTAGAAATAATTGTCATCTACAAGGTCTGTGAGCAGCTGATTGGCCAGCCGGTACAGTGTGGACATCATTGGGAGAGTGAACTGCCAACGCTGGTACGTTGAACCGTTTACATACCTGCAGAAGAACAAAGCACAGACACTCAGTATGCAGCCAGAAGACAACTGGGCCTTTACCGAAGGACTAGAAATAACCAAACACCCTTCACCACCCATCATCTGCAGAGACTATCAAGGACAGATAACACACAGGTCCCCCTAGACAGAAGGAAAGGCTAAAAGGACTGCTGAAGACCACTATGGACCAGATCTGCCCAGAAAATACCAACTGGTCCAGTTCCTCGCCTCCTCCATATCCAAACTGATACACAACATATGTGTACTCTTAGCAAATATCAATTCAAATTCCAACTAGACAATCCATGTTGTCACCTTTATGGCATGGTAACAAACATCAGTTTTAGCAGTTAACTGGGCAGCAGCCCTTCTAAACATGGCCTTGTTTGCCCTTGTTGGATGCTGAAGGCAAGAGGTATAGCTTTACAACAATCAGGTTCTGCCTCACATCCCTGAGGGAACGTTTTTCTCTCCCCACCAACATCACACGTTGCCCAGCATAACACAACCAAAGATTACACATTGTTATGTATAGGTAATTCACGTATTACATCTGTCTTTCCCCCCTCTCCCAGTGAATTGTGCTACGAGAAGCACCTACTTCCTGTTGTCTTTCAGCGGCTGGTGGTCATAGAACCAGTCCAGCACAGGGGCATCCTCCTCTGGATCCAGCTCAAGCTGAATCGCTTCCAGGGGCTCCACATCCAGGATATTATCAGCATAATCCAGAGGGGGTTCTTCATCGTCAAACGGGGGGAACCTCATCCTCTTGAAGTGACGCCTATCCCTCTTCTCTCGCCTCATCATAATCCACATCGACCTGGCAGAAATCCAGAGACCGTTAAATGTCACTTTTATTGTGGACGCACGAGTGTTTTCTCACAAGTTCCCACCAGGTTGAAGGAAGAAGGCACTTACCCCCACTGAGCAATGTACACCGGCTCTATAACCCAGGGAATCTCATTCACAAAAGAGATGGCGCCTGTGATATGGTACAAGACTGGAACATCTCTGATTTGCTCCCAGGGCATGGGCATGTTCTCCAAGAGCTTCAGAACAGCATGAGGCATGTACTTCAGAGCACTACAGTCAGAATTCAAGGAAAATCAGGGTTGGAAGGAATCTCAAGAGACACAGCCCAATTACCTCTACACCTTTCACTCCTGAAAGCTGCTCAGCTAACCTGTTCATAAAGGCCTCCAGTGACAAATCCACAAACTTCTCATTCTATCCTTGTGCTTCATACATGACAGCACCAATAATTTTACTACTGGTTTGGCTTCCAAGAGATTGTTACACATTAAGAATGCATAAAATCCAAAATTAGTTTCTGGAGTTTTTATGGGTAACTGTTAAGTTAGTGCAATGGATCATGATATGCATGAGATAGCTCTCCAAACCCAAATGCTAAAGAAGTGCTCATAATGCTTTTTAATCTTGCAAAAAATGTATGCCGGCTACTTCATACTCTCCCCCAACTTCTACTAAGACAACATGTTACCCAGCATAACGTTCTTCTCATAAATTCAAAGCAATGACTTCCTTCACTTATCCTTTTCTGCACTGCTACCCTAGTGCAACTGATTATCCCATCCTCCCCACGCTACTATGCTGCCTTCTAAGCACAACTGACACAGAAATGCCTTTGGAGAAGGAGCTCTTCCCTTTTAACGATCGAGGAGGGGCTTTGACAAGGCAGCAGAGGCAGGCTCAGCTTGGCTCTCAGTGTGCAACACAGCGGGGGGCTCCCTTACCCCAAGTAGACGCGCTTGTCGTGACGGAACTTCCTGTTGGTCATGTCACCGTGGTCGCGGATGATCTTTCGGACGTGCTCGGGGGGCATGTCCTCCTTCTGCGCGTCCACGAACCCGAATTTCCTCTTCTCCGCATAGCGCTTGGCCTGCAGCTGCTGCCACTTGCGGGCTGCAGGGACAGAGAGACGGCGGGATCAGGCCCTGTCCCACTCGGGAGGATGGGGGGCGCAGAAGCCGTTCCTACCCACCTTTCTCCTGCAGCTTCTCCTCAGACATGTAGTCGGGGAGCGGCGCCAGCGGGCTGGGCACCGGGGCGCAGCCGCCGCGGTACGGGAAGACGGCGGCCATGGCGACGCACCTGCGGGGATGGAGAGAGGCTCAGGGAGGGGACCGGGCCACACCCGACCTCTCCCTTGTCACCCCGGACAGCCTCCCCCGCCCGTCCCCGGGCCCCCCCGCCCTCACCGGCTACCGCGACGCCCCTCGCTTCCCCACCACAATGGCGGCCCCGCGACGCCACCGCCGCTGCCGCGCCTCAGGGACCCGGATGCGGGCGGGAGGCGCCGCGCGGCGAGCTGTCCAATCAGCTGTTGGGCAGCCCGTACGACAGCAGGCGCAGCCCATCAGAACGCGGAAAAGGGGGCAGAAGGCGGGACCAAGTGCGGGAGAGGAAAGGAAGTTGTGCCTGGCGCTTTCTCCGGTCCCACCCTTCGCTGCTTTCGATTGGCGGAGAGAGGCAACGGTGACAGCTCGGCGCCGGCTCTGACTGGACAACGTCTTGGCGCAGATCGGCCCACGCTACCTGCAGGGGGCGCTGTGGGGCGGATCGCGGCGCGGGGGGGGGGGCGCGTGGGGGCCGCCCCCTGCCCCCACCCGTGTGGGGCCTTGGAGGGCGAGGGGACCCCTTCGCGGGATCCCCGCGGGGCAGCGTGGGCCTGTGGCCCCTCCTCAGAGGGGGCACTGCCCACCTCGGCCGCTATCCGTGTCCGTCCCCCCTCCCGAGGGACTGTGCCCCCCTACCCCCGCCGGGCGTGGCCCCAGGCAGGGCAGGAGGACGCTGCACCCGAGTGCCCGGGGAGCGACGCCTTCCCCCCCCCCTCACCCACACCCCCAGCACTGTCCCCTTAATGCCCTCAGCAAGTGTCCACCCCCCCCTTGGTGCCCCCTCCCCGGCCCCCCCCGGGGAGCACAGATGCTCCCCCCGGGCTCTGCACTTGCCCGGCATCCTGTGAAAACATAAGATCCAGCTCGGCTCCACGCCTTGCCACGGGCCACCCTGCAGCCTTAGGGCTTCGGCAGGGTGGGGAGTCCCGGGGGGGTCCCCATGGGTCTGCGCTAGAGGGGCTATTGGCTCTTTGTGGGATGGGGCTGAAGGGGGTGCAGGCAGGTGGCAGGCTGGGGCGCAGCTCCCCGGTGACTAACTCCGTGATGGAGATGCTCCCTCTATCCCTGTGAACCCCTGTATGGTGGGATTGGAGGGACAGGTCCCTTCCCAAAGCCCTTCGAGCCCAGGCTGTGGCATTTTCCATCAGGAGGGACAAGCGCAGGGTACCCCCGCGTCCCGCCGCAGTGAGCTGCAAAGCCGCTCCTTATCCCACTGTGGGAAAATCGCGTCTGATTAGAGGCTCCCAAAACCGGCCTCCCCGGCCGTCAACCCCACATGCCCGGTGTACAGGACATCCACGTGATGGCAGGAATGTGGTAACACAATCCAGGCCTTGAGAAATGTCCCTGGTGTGGGCAGAGGCCGGAGGACAGAGCCAGCGTTGCTGAGCGGGTGCAGCGGCTGTGCTGAGGGCAGGGATCGGCAGAGCAGCTCCTGAAAAATTGGGTGTAAATGGGTCAAACCAAAGAGAAAGACCTGTTTGCCAGCTCTGCTCCGGCCAGAGGCTGTGAGCAGCACATGGGCACCTAAACACTGCTTGAGGTGACAAACCCAAACACAGAGTAGGTATCTCCAGCACCTGCAAGCTTCCCTGTGCTCTCCACAAATAGAAATGTAAGCGGCTTTGGCCACGAGTCATCTTCGGCCTCCCACTGCCCACGTGCATCGCTCGTCTTTCCCTGCCCAGGAAGAAATGTGCCTGCTCCCTTATTTTCCTCCTTGAAAAAAGTGCTGCCTGCTCTGAGCAGAGCATTGTTTCAGCCTGTCCCCCAGCTTTTCAAACTAAATGAGAGATTCTGAGGTAAAGGCTATTTGCCACAAAATGCACGACAGATCAGTTGAATCAGTTGGCAGACAGTGGATTTTTCAAAACTGGTTCACTTAACCCCGAGTGGGATGATCTGGCTTTTATACATGGTGCTGGGCTGCTGGGGAACAGTCCAGTGTGTGAGAATCAGTGAAGAAAAGGAGATGTGGAGTAAAAAAATTTTAAAAATTCTGATTCCTTGTCTTAGGAAGCCTCCAGGGACAGGCAGAGCGAACCACAACGATCCTAGCTTTGCTGCAAGCTGGAGTCCAGCACCAGGAATGAGGGCAACGAAGCCATGTGCTGGGTACTCTGCCTGCAGCCTGCCCTATTTCACAGCCAACACTTTCCTAATGCCGCATGTTGCAAGTGGCTCAGTGCAGCAGGGCTAAAGGCACAGGCACAGCAGAGCTGCCACCCATCCTGCTGCCATTTAACCTCCCAGTTGCCAGCCCCAAGGAAAGCGCAGCCTCCCCTTGCCTAAGAGGGCAGGAGAGCATCAGCAGGAACAGGAGAAACCTTCATCTTCCTCCATAGAAAGGAGAGGGGGGAAAAAACCCCGAGAGGTAAACTGTGCCAGCATACAGTGTATTTTTACTCTGTGGTGGAGAGACATAGAATAAGAAGCACTGTGCTAAGAAGTGACACCCCTGGAGCCAGCTGGGATGCTGAGTCCCTTTTTCCCTCCAAGCCCCTTCAACCTGTTTCATTTGCAGCCATTTATTAAAAGCTTGTGTTAGAGCTCTTGCTGCTGGGTAAGAGTGTTACACTGGGCTCTGCAGCAGAACTTTTCCTTCCTAATAGATGCCTAAATCCTAATAGATGCCTAAATCCTAATAAATGCCTAATCCTGAAAACTTCACATCTGTGAGAAATGACCATCACATAGCATCATCCTGGCTAGCGACTCACGCTCTCCCGTGCTCATTTATAGACACTTAACATATCTGAGAACAAAACAACACAGAAAAAGCTCTAGTTGTCAACAGAAGTTGGTGGCCTGTCCCCAAACACAGCACTGCAGCACCCGCTGCCCAGTGCTCTGCCCCCAACCTGGACCCCACAGCAAGCAGCATCCCACCCAGGCAGGTCTCAGCCTCTCCCTCCATCACCCACCTGGGACAATCTCCTTGGGGAGGACTCATGAGCGCAGGATTTGGCTTTTGCTGGCCCTGGCCTCAAGGGCAAAGCCTTGTAGCCTCTCTTGCCTGGTGGTGCTCCCATGGGAAGTACCACAGAGAACACAGGGCTGGTCCCCTGGCTGATGGGACGCTGCAGGCTGCAGCATCAAAGGGGTTAGAAACACACTCTGGTGTTTGGATATCCATAAAAGCAGCGGGGAAACAGTGCTCTTCTGCTCCCTTCTCATCTCAGTGGTGCCTCAGGGAGCTGCAAGAGCTGTCGAGGCTTCTCTGATCAGCTCCTGGTCATCCGACCACCTCATCCAAAGGTGTGAGGAGAGCAGAGCCCCACTGCCTGGTCTGTGAGCACCTTCTCTGCTGTGCAGGGCCCAGGATCTGCAGCAACAAGAAAATCCCAGGTGCCCTGTTAGTGAGGACCCTCCACGCAAAGTACCGAAACAGCCACATTCACTCTCCACTGCGCTTTGCTGTCCTCCACCACAGGCTCGGGGCTGTTCATCCCCCAGACCCTGTGGGGAATGGGGCTATTGCTCCTTCTCCCACTGCACGTCCCGGCTGGACTTGAAGAAGTCACTACGCAGTAGGCGGTAGAAGAGGATGATGTTCATGGGTGTCATGATTGCCATGCCCACCGTGCCTACAGCGTACGTTGCCGGGGGCACGTTCTCCCGATTGAGGAAGAGCCAGCGAGTCATCCAGGCCAGCGTGGCGATGCGGAACACCACGTAGGTGCCCAGGTTGATGATGCTGTTGAGGCGGTAGCAGGTGGTGTGCACCAGGTTGGCCATGAGCAGGATCTGTCGCAGGTGGAGGAAGATGGAGTTAATCTCCACCAATAAAGCCACAAGGGCAAACCCAACATACTGATGGAGCAGCACTGCAATACCAAAGCAGACAATCACCTGGGAAGGAGAAAGGAGAGAGGCTGAGCCCGGGAGCTGGTTGCTCTCAGCTGCTGCAAGCCAGAGCCCTCCATGCTTGGGTGCAGCATGGAGCAGAGGTGGAAATGGTGATCACACCAGTGCCAAACTGATGGTCATCACCCCACACATCTCTCTGCAGCTTTGCAGCCTCAGGCATGAGATAAAGCATGAAACCTGAGCAATTTTTTTTTTTTCTAGTGGGAGGAGAGAGAAACATTTCTATAAACTCCAGGTTGGCAGAGGAGACAGAGAAGCCAGATCTAATCCTGGTTTTATAGCCTGGGGAATGCACTTGGTTGTGGCCCAGCAGGTTTTTCCGCACACAGGGGCAGGAAAGGAGGTGTGTAGCCCAGGACTACAGTTGCTGCTGGCTCAGGGATTCTCTGCAAAACAGGCATGCTGCAGGGATTAAGTGGCTTCAGTGCATCAGAGAGCCCCGTGGGATGCCCCAAGCCTGGCCTGAAGCACCCTGGGGCTGCTGGGTGCTGCGGCAGAGGACTGGGCTGTTGGGGGCAAAACAGGCACGATTCCTGCCCTGCACCCTCCCAGCCAGGCCGGGGGACAAGCTCTGCCTGCCCATGCTTTAACACACTCAGTCCTTTCTTCAGTTTTATACCATTAATGCTGTTCTCTGCATTGGCTCTTTAATTTTATTATTTGCTCCCTGCTCGTTAAATCACTGTCTTGGCCTGAATTAGCTCTCTGGTGGAGATGACCTTTTGACTCATGAGCTGCAGCCAGCAGAGCCGCAGGGCTCACTGGGCTCTGTGAGACAGCAGGTCTGACCATTGCCTCCCCCATCTCATCCCAGCTGGGTCCCAGTACTGTCCCTGTCCCCCACACCCAGGACCTGCAGACCCCTGTGCCTCTCCTGTACCCCTTATCGTCTCTGCTGCACAGCTCCAGCCTGTGCCACCTCCGCTGCCCTGCAGCATCTGCAACGTGCCAGCATCTGCGCATTGGTGGCAATCAAAGAGAAACCCACGCTGGGCACAGCCAGCAGCAAGGCAGGCAGAGGGCACTGGTGTGGGGCTCCTGCACCACGGGTGCTGCAGTTATCCCAGCCCTGTGGCCACGGCTCTGACCCAAATGAGAGGAAAGCACCCGGGGGGAGCAGGAGGTGGAAGGAGGTGATGTGCAGCCCTTCCTGGCAGATGCCCAAGTGGCCAAGAGCCGGCAGGAGCTAAGCTGCTCGCCTGTGCTGGCGAGGACACCTGGGTCACTGCCTGTCCATGTCACTGTTATGGATCAGCCCCCCAGACCAGCCCTCTTCCCCCCTTACTCTGTGCAGGTATGTTTATTTTTCCTACCTCATCTTTGAGTGCCTCTCTGCAGACCCTTGAAGAGTACCTGAGTCCTGTAGGACCAAGAGAAGCTCCAAGCCCTGCTGTCTGGGCTTCTCTCCCCAGGCGGAAGAATCAGAGATTTTGTAACAGGCAGCAAACACCCACGCTAGCAACAGCAAGAGCCCCACTTGTGTTCACCAGCCTCCCTGGTGGTACAAGTACCAGGGTCTGTCCCTCGGAGAGTGGCCGGTGGACTCACCACGGAGTGATGGAAGAGCAGCTCCCAGGACTGGTGAAGTTTCTGATTGCAGAACATGTCCACAAAGTCTTCAAGGAAATAACCTGGGATCAGAGAGGCCATGAGCAAAGAAGGGGGCCAGGAAGGGCTGTGCCAAGGGACCCCCCCAGCCCAGCAGGCTCTGACTGGTGCCTGGGCAGCCCCTCTGGGGAAGTGGCCACAGCTCAGCCCAAACCCTGTGTGGGTGGCGAGTCACGAAGAGAGCAGGATCACACACAGCAGGAGAAGGAAACTGGTGTATTTTGGGTCCTTCCTGCAATCACTGTAGGGCACACTCCTAATGAGAGGCACTAACTGATCACTTGGATGGGTGAAGGGTGAGAGCGCAGGCAGCACGCTGACCCTCACCCCTGTTACGATCCCAGAATTAGATCTCTTTCAGCCTGGAGTCCTTAACAGCTGCAGGATTCATTGCCACCAAACCAACCCCACATTGGCATTTTAGATACTCCAACCGCCTTGCTGAGCTGTAGCCATGCCAGGAAGCCTGTTAGCACTGACCACAGGGCTGGTGACAGATCTGCAAGAAGGTGACAAGAGGGTGGGAGGAGGAGGCTTTACACAGCCAAAGGACTCAAAGCTCCTGGCCTCCACACCAGCAGGTTTAGCATCAGGCTTTGGGGGGACTTGCATCAACCCCATATCAAGGGCACTTTTGAGTTGCCCCAAGCCCTGGCTGCCCCATGAGGATGGTGACGGGCAGCCTGGTGCCCTGTACCTCCTGGCTGCGGGTGCCGTGGGACAGAAAGGAGCCACTGTCCTTTGCCAAGAATAGGGCGATTGTCTGGGGTGCCTGAGACATTGCTGCTCACAACATGGCCTGAGGGGCTGGTGTCAGGCACCGATGAACCCCTGAGGACTCCCTGGGGCACAGAACAAGGGGCAGCCCACTCCCCCCACCTCACCGACAGATACAGCGACTAAGCTGTGCGCCCCGGGTGGGTATGTGACCACCAGGTCCTCAGACAGCCCAGGGTGGAGGCAGAACCTGTGGGGAGAGGGGTTGTGAATGCCAGGCAGTGCCTCTGGTCCCCTAATTCCCTCCCAGCATCCTTGGTGCCCACCTGGTGCTGCTGACCCCCTCCCCTGCCGGAGCCCTCTTATCCCCCTGGTCCCCCCACGGCCACCCCTGTCCTCCTGTTTCCCCCAGAGTCTCCCTATCCCCTTCTGCCTTGGTGCCTCCCTGTCCCTCCGTCCCCCTGTGCCCCTCAATCCCTCCACCATCCCTCAGTGCCCCTCACTTTCCAGATCCACCCCTTCCTCAGTGCTCCTCAGGGTCCCCCCAAACCCCCACTCCCCCACCGGGGTGGGCTCAGTTTCCCTCAGTGCCCCTCTGCCCGCAGGTTCCCTTTGGGGTCCTTCGATGCCCATTCCCCTCCAGCGCCCCCGGTCCCCCCCGGCACTCCGGTGTCCCCCCCCAGCTCCAGGTGCCCCCCCGGGGCGGCTCACCCGGCCAGCGCCCCGCCGCCGCTCAGCACGCTGTGCGCCAGCGATGTCCAGATGTTGCGCCACTTCCAGCGGTTGCGCCGGGCCGAGGGCGGCGGCGGCACCAGCCGCTCCAGTCCCCGGTTCAGCAGCCGAAAAGCGGCGAAGGAACCGGCCACCACCAGCAAGCCCGGGCTGAAAGCCATGGGCGTCCAGCGGCCCGCAGCCTCCCCCGCCGGGCTCCCATGGGCACCGGCCGCCTTGCCCGACGGCTCCGCCTCGCCCGGCCCCGGGGCCCGCCCTGCCCCGGCCGGGGATGCGCGGCCCCGGGGCGGGGGAACCGCGAACATTGTCCCCGCAGGGAAGGACCGGGTGGGCTGTGGGAGCCGCCCCGCTGCTGGCACTGGCGTTTCCCGCGTATCCCCACGCAGAGATGCAGAAGCGAAGGGGCAGTGCTTTCCCTCGGAGCGTGTGGCTCAGGGAAAGGGTGGGGGGGAGTGGGAAATAGGCACCCCGGGGTGTGCATCAGCCCTCCCCCGGAATTGCACGGCAGAAACAACGGCCAGCCCGAAAGCCGGCTGTAAGCGTGCCACGGAGCGCAGGCCTAGCTGTCCCGTTACTGTGCTGGAGCTGGGGACACCTTCTTCGTTCCCCTGAGGTCCCTCCTCCACCTCGGTGGCTGAACACCCCACCCGTGAGGTGCTGTGGCCAGTGGCCCTTCCCGCCCCCAAAGCATCCCTGGCACATGGTGCCAGTGAGGGTCTTGCCCCATTGCACTGTGCTGGAGAGCCATCCCTCAGACTGGGTAAGGACCCACAGACACACACCGCTGGCTCTGATTGCACAGCAAACAAGCAAAAAGCTCTGGTTGCCCCCCCCCAAAAAAAATGCTCTGACCACAGCACTCTTGTCCTCCATCCCCCTGCCCCATGCCTGGTCCTGAGAGAAGCTCCCCAATGTCTGGGATACCCCAGCTCTGCTGTCCAGGGTTTACGGGAATTCAGGATCCCATACCCACAATTTATTTAGTTCCATCCTACAATTATGCTGCTTTTCCAGCTTTCTGTAATTTGATCACTCCCTTGTTGCTTTTTGATGTCTCCACCAGAAGCGTGGCTGCTGTACAGACCTTGCTTCTCTTCTGCAGACGGGATGAGTCACCGTGTACATACTGATTAATGTCAAACTCTGCCTTTCCTTTGAGGTATTAATTTTGGATGAAATCTTTTACTCTCTCTGCTGAAACAGAAACTTGTGGAGCCTGAGCTCTCAGTTGCTGCCCTGGCTGGGGTGATGGACACTAAAACAACAAGTAATATTCTGATGGAAGAGACACTGAGGAGGGAAGCGATTAAATCAGATCTGAAGGAGAGGGCAAGATAGTCCCATCTGATAGAAAAGCATCTGTTCATGCTGCAGAAATTTGCCTAAAAGCCGGACAAGACAATGTGATTTCATTGCAGTTAAGTGGCAGGGAGACGCTGACTGAAGTAATCGGCAGACCTGACGGCTCAAGGGATTTTAAATAATCTCATGTATTAGGACTTGAAGGATCACATAGGCTAATCTGTTACCGAGAAGGCCAAATGCAGACATTTCTGCTTAGCATAACATATGCTGAAGAAAGGGAGAGATGCCTTGGAGACATGCTGGGCTGCTCAGGGCACTGAGGAGAAAAATCATTTAACAACTAATTGCAACATAAAATTGCAGAGAGGTGATTCCTAATGAGGAGTCTGCAGTGTTTTAACTTCAGAAATCTTGGCTGCCCCTTGCTGCAGTGATAACCCTGCCCTTTACCTGCCCGCAGGTAAAGTCCCAGACCATGAAACATCTGCCAGCCCAGCCCTGTTTGTCCCAGGGGCTCATTCATTTATAGCGTTATTCTAAAGATGAACATTTGGTCAGGTTTAGGTCAGGGACAGGAATAGTTAAAATGTTTCTGGACACTGGAGAGCTTTTGCCTGCCACTTCTGCATCAGAGGAATTTAAACTGTGATTAATCGAGCCTCCGGTTCAGGGGCTTTGATTCCCCTGCTTGAGCACTAGCAACAGCTACTTACATACTATGATTTGGATACTTTCAGCCCAGATTTTACTTATTTTTACCAGGATTTGCCATCAGGCAGTGGTTTCTTACAAGCTCTTTTTCCAGCCTTTTCTCATTTTCTCCCTTTCCCTGCAGCAATGGCATTAAGCAGGGATGGTTTCAGAGCTGGAGACTTCCAAGCCCGGTTACAAACAGGTCCCTTGACACCAGCTCAGGCCAAATATCCAGCTAAGTCCCACAAGGCTCGGAGGCCAGGCATGTCCCAGAAGAAGCTGTACAGAAGAGCTGGGACAGGAGCTCTCGGGCTCAGCTGCCACAAGAGGTCCCTGCACGCTCGCTGGAGACAGCAACCCGATCTGATGGGACTACATTCACACCTTATTTGGAGATACTGCCTTTTTCACCCAAATTTCGAGAAGTTTTCCAACAGTCCCCAAAAGGCCTCATTTTCTGTAGGGAGGCAGCTCAGCCTGGAGACGGGTTGCTGCTGGTGCTTGCTCCCAGCAGGGCAGGGGACTCCTTCCAGTTGCCAGCAAGGACGTGCCTAGGTCCATCCCATAACGCTGTGGGGACCACAACTAATCCCATAGCAGGGGCTTTACAGCAGCAGCCCGGGTGTAAATCAAGGGTACAGCAGTTTTTTCAACAGCTGAACAGTGGCTTTTTTCTCCTGCTCACAGGTTGGAATTTGTCTGCAGCACATCTGAGGGAAATAACCCATTCTCGACAATAAAGAGATGGCAGTTTATTGACAACCCACCGGGTGAATTCTGTCAGATAAATTATGTTTTCCCCCAGAAGTTTCCCACTACTCCTGTATGGGGGTTTGGGTGTCCTTTCACAGATCCTCTGTCCCTTACACAAGGAGGACCCCACTCTGATGCCAAGCACCACCCAGGGCTCGCCGTAGCCAACAGATGTGGGAGCTTCTGACATGGCAAAGTCCTTCTGGCAAAAGTCATGCTCCTGGTTTTGGAAAGCCTCGCTCTCTTAATCTGCCTCTTGACAGCCAGGGAGGCATAAAGCCCATCTGCTCATCTAATGCCAGACCTGGCTCACACCTAAAATAATTTGAGGAGTCCAAGATCTCAAAACAAATCATCTTGGCTTCCAAACTTTAATTAGCTGTTGTCTTTATCCCTCTCTACAGTGTGTCACCACTATATCTGCTAGGCCACAGGAAGTCAGACTATATATCCACATTTTAATTCAGAAAGTCTGTAACTACCCACTTAAAAAAGGATCTAATGTGCAAAATGCACACTGTGTATGGCAAAGCATGCCCAGGCATTGCAGAGGTAGCTGTGAAGAGAGCTGAAATCAATGCAAACTCAAGCATTCACCGCTTCCAGTCAGAAACACCTTCCTGCTGTGGAAGCTGGGTATTCTCCAGGTGAAACTGGGGTTATACTCACCGTAGCCACAGGAGAAAGTCACATCAGCCTCTGCGAGCACAGCGAACAGGAGGGTTTCCGCCAGCACAGAGTGCAGAGCATTTTTATTACCTTTTTTCCCCGCCCTTAGCTCCACTTCACACACACACAGAGGTCCAGGATTTAATGCAAGAAATGCCAAAGTATGCATTACTTAATCACCGACGTCAGGACTTGATTTTGTCTGGCAGAGGAAATCATCTGGCTTTGCACCACAGCTCCTCCATTCATCCTGCTCAAGCCTGCAAGGTCAGCCTCCCGAGGGGAAGGCTCTTCCCTTCCTTCCCCCAGTGTTTTGACCAGCCCTACAGGTATTCTACTGTCCAGATTGGCCATCCTTCCTGAGATCATTCCTTGAATAATACAGTGTCTTCTGGGAGCTTCACAGCGCTGGGATGCTCTGGGGCCAGCTGCCAGCTGCTGATTGCTGCCCGGCCGGGCACAACACGCTGCCTTCTGCAGCCTGGCATGTGGAAATGCCCCCCTCACCCGAGAGCCAGAGCCACCCAGGCGCAGCCTGCTTTGCCCATGTGATAAACAACCCCATGGCAGGTTGCTCTGGATGCTCTTGCTTTTGGCTTCCTTCCTTTTTCCCAGGATTGGAAGTCTTTTTTTCTCAGGATTTGGCACAAGAGATCTATGGGAGAAACCCGTGACAACAGTACAGTGTCCCTAAGGATGCTGTGGGCTCAGCCGGGAACTGGTTGTGCGAAGGATGTGCTCTCTCTTTCTCACTCTGGTTGCACAGGTATGCCATGGGATAAAAAAAAAAAAATCTATTGACAGACACATTGATTGGTAAAACCCCTTCAAGCACAGCAGCATGGGCAGTTCCTTGTATTTCTCCTCTGCTTTCAGTAGCTGACATGCCCCCGATTTATCTACCTTCTGAATTGTTTATCTGCTGCTATTAGTAAGGTTTCAGGTTCCTTCTTTTCCTGTGGGAAACATTGAAACATGGGGTCAGGTGTCTGCCCAGCCTGTATCCCATCTCTCACCATCACCAGACATGAATTCTTAGGAAGAAAATGCGAAACAGCACATATAATTATTCTTACCCTATAAGCAAATTAATTCCCACTAAATATTTCCTTTGTGGGATAAACTTTTTTTTTTTTCCTCTGTTTATTTCACCATTCTCAAGCTTAAGTAATTTTTGACAAATATCTGTGCTTTATGGTTATATCACGGTGTGTTTATGACCACATGCTTTTTCTGCAATTCAGACAGGTTCAGAATGAGCCCTGCAAGGTGGAAGCATGTCTCAGCCCTTACACCCACTTCATGCAGTGTCACATGTTGCTGAGACCACTTGATTCCTCCTGCATTATGGATATAAGCACAGGAGCTTCCTAACTGCATCTCCTACTGCTACCAGCTCTGCAACTTGGAACAGGTTAGGTTCCCTCCTGAATGCTCTTGTTATTAATATCACAAACCAAGCTGTTCTGAGAGCGGTGTCCCATTAATCATTTCAGCTCTGCTGCAGTTTTCACCTCGCTTCCTCTTCCTGTGCATGAATAGTCTTCAGTAACATTCAACCCTCTGGGTAATGCTCAGTTAAAATCAGCAGGTTTGCTAGGGAAGGGAAGGACCCTGATCTGAACAAGCTGGGGGCTAGCAAAGGTGGGACAAGGGTGCATCCACACAGCCACAGCTGCATTACTTTACCAAAAAATGTGGTACACCAGCTGATGGTAGTAGAGACTTGAAGGGAGGAGAGCTACCCCCCTCAAATCTTTACCTCTAAACTTGAATTTTCCAGAGTGCTGACCACACTGGAGAGACACAGCAAAAGTGAAGATATCTAATAAAATACAAGGTCAGCTCAGCGGCTTGTGTGAGTCAGCGCTAATGTGGGTGGCAATTCTGGTCAGAGATCTCCGATGCCTACCTGGGCTCTGTTCATGTTTGAGGGCACCGCTTCCTTTTGCTCTTTTCCTTCCTAATCTTGCTGTGTGTTACAAGCAAAGGTCTTGACCA